CCGTCCTCCAGACAGAGGGGTCCACACGTCCTCCCTGCGGCGGGAGCCTCAGCAGACCCCGACCCAGGCCCAGTCCCAGACCATGTCCCCGTCCCAGAACCAGACCCCGCTCCAGTGCCAGCGCTTCCAGCACACGTACGCCCCGAGTCGCTTCCAGCCGACCTACCCCTACCTGCCCCAGAGCCTCATCGATCTCCCCCCCACCATCTGCCTCTCGGACGGGGAGGAGCCCCCCCCGTACCAGGGACCCTGCACCCTGCAGCTCCGGGACCCGGAGCAACAGATGGAGCTGAACCGCGAGTCGGTCCGAGCGCCGCCCAACCGAACGGTGTTCGACTCGCACCCCATCGACAGGTCCAGCTCCTGTCTGCAGGCCAGGTAACCACGCACAGCTGTGGGGGGGCGGGGGGTCTTTTAAGGGACTCACTGCATGTCAACCACAGGGAGCTGTCTTCAGTTAGCTTCCAGTGTCTTTTTAAGGGGCAGGGCTTGTAGTGAAAACTAACAGTAGCTGCATTCTTAATTATTCCATCAGATAACTAGATGAAATATTTTGCTGAGTGAGGGAGACGATATCCGTCTCAACGCCGCTTGTTGTTTTGCCTCCAGTCTGCAGGCCCCTCCCCCCAGCGTCCACTCGGGCGTCAGCGAGGCCTCGTCCCGCCATCAGACGCAGGGCCCTCGGGTGGAAGGAGCTCCCCCGACCTACAGCGAGGTCATCGGGCACTACTACCACCCGACCTCCCTGAGCCACGGCCATCGCAGCGCGCCGGCCCCGCCCCCGTGCTCGCTCATGCACGGCCTGCTCCGGCCGCCGCCCCGGCAGCGGGCCGGCCCGGACCGCGGGAACGAGAGGAACACCAAGGAGAAATCCCAGAAGCCCCAGCAGGTCTGACGATCCCGCCTCCTTGATCCGTCGCCCTGATCCTCGGGAAGCGGCCGGTAGCCGGAGGGGGGGACTACCTAGAGGGTTAGTTGTAGTACCCCCCCCCCCCTCAAAAGTGGCGGGCGAGGACCGCAGGACGCGGCAGAGGCAAAGAACTCACAGAGAGAGCACTTCCTGCTCCGCGGCCTCTTATTCCCGTTGAGAGGAAGCACTTCAGACGAACCCACGGCGATGATGTCAGAGCGGGGAGGGGCGGGGAGGCTGCGAAGCTCCTCCTCCTCCGTCAGACTGATCGAACTTCACTCGTTATAAATATTTACTCGTTCTGTTTGTTCCTTTAGAGCTTTTTGTCTGTTTTTTTCTCCCTGCATCCCGTCGCCACGTCAGGGTAATTTCAGAGAGACGTGGTTAGCTTAGCATTGCTAGCACAGAGCTAATCGTTCTGCCTTACATCGACCAACCGACGCCGGAGTCGTCGCATCAAATCCTTTTGAAAGTTTGTTTTATTTGCTGTTTCCTGAAGAAGGTTTGCACAAAGTTCAAGACCGCAATATGATTGACGAGAGAGACAACAGAGAAAGTAAAAGTGGTATTTTTCTAAACTAGATAGATTTGTAAGAGTACAGATGTTTTTGCTTCTTCTGTTAAATGTTGTCTAGTTTTAGAGACAGAAAACATCATTAATCTGTTGGGGTTCCAACTTTCACGCTGAACTATTTGGGCTGCATACGTATTGGTACGTGTTACATTTTGAGTACACACACACACACACACACACACAGAGACACACACACACAGAGACACACTTATGCGAACTGAGAGCAAACTCAAAAGCACGAATTTACTTATTTATATAATTGCTGAAAAGAATTGCACTATTTTGTAGTATGCGCAGATTGGAACGTGTGGGAGAGACTTTTATTGTGAAAGGGGCTGTGTCCTCTGAGGCTCACCAGGGGGTCCGTGTGCACGACGACGCATCGCCGGAGAGCCCGACTCCCGTTTCCACGGACTCGGATCCTCCATCAAATCAACCGTTGACACTTGATGAACCCTCATTTATGCAAACGCTCAACCTGTGGGCCCAATCAGAAGCTCTGCTCGTAGCTCCCTCTCATCCCGTTGGCCGCATCGTCAGCCAATCCCAAAGCTGGCAGCCCGCCACCTCGAGCCCGAGCCGAGCACACGCCCGTCCATCAGACTTTGTCCCATCGGACAGACGTCTGAGCCAATCACGACGAGGTGTGATGTCATCAGTGGAGAGTCGAGCTTTCCATCCCGTTTTATTTGTTCTTTGTTTTTGTTCATCCTGCGAGAAGAGAGAGAACCTCCCCTCAGTAGTGCAACACACACACACACACACACACGGTGTCCCCCCCGGGGGCGTCACCCTGGCGGAGGCGTCTCCGAGCACTTTACTGCAACCAGGAAAGAGACGAACAATCTCCAGCCGGCGTACGGTAGAGCCCTCAGATGTTGCGGGAGTAGTCCACCCGTTAAGATGAATAAAAGGGCCGCGGGGCGAGTTGCGTCGCGTTGAGACACACAGGAGTGTTGAAAAGTGACACGAGTGTCGACGGGCAAACTCGTCCTCGGGCCGCCTCTCCCGGGTCGAGACCAAAGGGTCAAAGTTTAGCTCCCCTCTAGTCTTCTGGACCTCGTGCAAGCGGGCCGGTCCGAGGTCTGTTCCACGGGGTCAAATTCAAGTCCTTTATGCAACAGCGCCCCCCGGTGAGCGGAGCGAAACCCGCCGCCGCGACCCCGCGGGAGCCCGAGCGGAGTTGTTCATTGACGGAGTCAGAGTCGTCTCTGGAGGACAAATCAATAATGACTCGGAGCCTCGTCCGTCTCTTCGGATGCAGGCCGCTCGTTTGTATCTGAGGAGTCTTTGAGGCCTCTGGAATTAGTTTAATGTCTTTAAAACGAACATGGAGAAATGAATCTGTTGACCCCGAAGCCGCTGAGGGACAGACGAGGGAATCAATCAAAGGGCGAATCACCTTTGACCTTGAGATGAGATCATGAGCCGCGTTGGGAGAAGTCGGTGGGCGTCGTGCTGTTTCAGCTCTCGTGACGCGGAGCATCGACCGCTCGCCGCGCTGGCTGAACATACAGGAAGTATAAAAAATACTACAAACAAGAAGAAGAGGAAGACAGGAGGAGAGAGAGAGATGAAGGAGGGGACGTCCCAGTAGAGGCACACACAGACACACACTGGTAGGATTACAGGCTTAACATAACACAACGGCTTAAAATCATCTTTAAAGGGACAGTTCACACCAGGATCTAAACGTTTTTTTGCCTGTTTTACAGTGTGCTCTTCGTCTTGTCGTGAGGTAGAGACGTCGGCCTTCTCCGCGAGACGACATGGCGCTTAAAGTTATAATGTGACGGCAATCTGTTGTGAGCAGATTCATTCAGCGCCTTTATTTTGAAGGGAGGTTTACATTTAGATATCTCACAGCAAAACAAACTACACTGACAGGTGTCCCAAAAAGTGAATGTCCCTTTAAAGGGGATAAACATAAACTATTGTTCACTCACTTTCTGTGTGACTGTTTACACACATTTCTCTCTGCTGTAAAACAACAGAGAAAAGAATGTGTGTGTGTGTGTGTGTGTGTGTGTGTGTGTGTGTGTGTGTGTGTGTGTGTGTGTGTTAATGTACACCGAGCGGCCCTGGGAAAGACTCCAGCCGTCTAGACGAAAACTAAACACACACACGCAGCGCAGACTAAACAAATTAGTCTCAGAATCACACACACACACACACACACACACACTCGATCACATCCACAGTAGCCCCGCCCCCCCACCTCCTCTCCTTCCTCTCCTTCTTCGCCTGGACGAGCTCCTCCTCCTCTTCCCTAGAGATGCCTGCTGTCCAATGACAGAGCTCCTCTCAGACCCCGCCCCCTCGCGGCCATTGTCTGTTTCGGATCGCCGTGGAAACGTTTGCGTTGTTGTCGTTGTTGGTGTTGTTGTTGTTGTTGCTATGTCGTACTTGTGTGCCTGCCTGCGCTGAGACGGGCGAAACTCGAGCGGTCGGTCCGGGGCTGTCAATCATCCCTGGCCACGCCTCCTTACTGTCTCAGATGGAGATGATTGGATGATGAAGATGTTTTTGATAGTGATGCCGCGGAGAGCGTTGCAATACACCTACTATTTGCCTTTTTGATAATATTATTCCTATTTTAACGTAGTGAGCTAAATGTACGTTTCTTTGTTGTTGTTACTGTTGTTGTTTATTCACAAAACGTAGTTTTACTTCAATCCATCAATCACGTTTCTTTGGTACGATGTGTGGAACGAGCCGACAGACTGAAATCTACTTCTCCTTTAAGATCGCGGTCACACGCCGCCTTCTGGTGACCTCTGACCTCTGAGCACCACATCCAGCCGTAAGAAAAGAATTAAAGGGTTAAAATGAGGAACGTGAACGTTCGTCTGTGACGGATTCCAGCAGAGATGTGAGAGTCGTATCCTGCTGATGATAATAATCAATAATCTGTGACCCTCACTGGCAAACGTCAACGCATTAGTCTAAAGCCAGTACACAACATAGTACACACATTAGGTACTACACACACACTATGGAACGATGTAGATGATTGATCGGCCTGATTACCTGAGAATCTGAGAATATTAAAAATGTTTGAATTTTGTAAATCAAAAATAAATCAATTGAAATGTATTTCCTTAAAACCGCTGAGAAAAGATCTCGACCTAAAACCGACTCGCCGAGCGTCGCCGACAGGAAGTCCTGCGCCTGTTGATGAGTTCCATCACACTGAAGAAACCATCACACACAGTTTTATGTAGAAAAGAACCCGTCACGTTTTGCCCCGATGAATCCTGGGTAATAACTCCTCCAGCATGACTCACGTACTTATATAGAGGCCTACTTATCCTCACCGATAACTATATTTGTGTATTAAGAAAGATGTTTATTTTAATTTATGACGGAGGGTCTTCGTGTTGAAAGGGTTGTTGTTTGTTTTTCTACCGAAGACAAAAGGTTTATTGTTGTTGTCACAGAACACGGTTTATGAATCGGACACATTTCAGTTAACGTACCATTTAAAAAAATAAATAAAAATCTTTTATAAATATGTTTCCTTTTGTAATTTTTTTGTGGGTTAGTTTATGAAACCAAAACCACTGAAACCACTGCGGTTCTTCTTCATCATCAGCGCGTTCTCGCCTCCTCCAGCAGGTGGCGCTCTTCACTTTAATACTTCCAAAGCTGAACAAACTGTGTTTTACACCCACAACTGAAATCGACGGCGTTGAGAGGGGAAGGCATACGAGGGAGAAAGGAAAGGAGGGAAGGAATTAAGGGAGAGAGGATAGAAAATGAAGTCAAAAAGCAGCTGAGTAGAAATATCAAATATTTTATTTAGATTTAGAGACGATTCTTTAAAAACGCTTTAAGGTTTGATTTGATGGACTTCAGGTCTCGAGCAGCCAGATTTCCACAATAATACATCTTGCACTTTATTAACCACCTGTTCTGAAATCAGAAGACTCACAAGACCCCGAAGGACTTGAGACTGGACCTCAGGTACGTTCTTTGCACTCGAGCCCCTCGAGGTCCGACTCAATCAGAAAAATAACGACTCAACAGTGGAGATCCAGCGTGAGATTTGACTTGGACTCTCCGTGATGTGACGGACTGGAGAGTTTACTTAAGACTTAAGATCTAAAAAAAAAAGGACTGAAAGGAGGTTGATACTTGTAACAGAGTCCAACGATTTGACTCGTGCTGAATAGACAAACAGGGGACGCGTGAAGTGCAAACAGGAGAGTTCAACCCCAAAGGTCTTCAGGGTCGTAGAGCGCACAGATTCAAACAAAGGGTTTTGTTGGAAAAGGTCCAATACTTTGCTGCCCACAGGGAGCAGCCGACACCCGTCAGTTTAACGTGCATTCAAGTATTTGACCAATAAATGAGAACAATCAACTAAATCACTAATCAATGCGCGGAGGCTTCAGCAGGAGATTCCGACCAATCGCTGCGCAGCGCCGCCCGGCATCACTGCTGACGTTGAGCGACGGGTCGGTGTCCGACCGGACCCTGCGTGACGTCGCCGTGTCACCCTTTTGCACCTTCGTGGTGCACTATGCAACACGCACGCACACACACACACACACACACACACACACACACACACACACACACACACACACACACACACACACACGCACGCTGCTGATAAGGCCTAAACTTTGATGCTGCCGTCCACCTTTCGTTGCTTCACCCTGCAGCTCGTATCTCGTGACGTATTTCGGACGTTTCACTATCAGTGAACAACTTTCCTCTTATTGAGATTCTTTTAACTAAAGTTATTTTTTAACTCCACTCAGGGATATTTAAGTACGATTCCCACACATCTTGAATAAGACCCAAAAGAGTCCTTCCATCTTTTAAAACCTTCTGACTGCATCACATTCTTATAAAGAGAAGTTACACTTTAAGTGTTTTCCTACAACAGTCACTGCAGTTTGGATCAAACGTGTTACTCAAACAGGAGGAAATGATGCATTTGTCGGGATCTACTTCCAGCAGCGGATTAATCCCCAATTGCTGCTTTAAGGGGTGTTTAAGGCAGGATTGTGACAAGTCCGGTAAAACATGAGGTCGATTGAGAAAGAAGGACTCAGTTCTTCAATGGAAATCCACCAGTACGGACGCAGCGAACAAAAGAGACGAAGAGCCCTCGAATCCAAAAGCTTCATTCTGATGGTTGATTGAGGCAATTCAACTTGAACACCATGAAGCCGTCAGTCAAAAAATATGGCCGGGAGGGAGGGAACAGGCGAGGATGAGAGAAAAGCGTGAAAGACTGAAGAAAATTGAAAAGATAAAATAGAAAAAACAAAACTTATACCCTTTGTTATCAATTATGTAATGAATGTTTAAATGACAGTTGACCAACACGTACAACCGGAAAACAGAGCTGTTGTTTTATTATTACAGCTGATAAATACTCCAGTCAGCAGTGTGACAGGAAACCAGGGGACAGACTCAGGATTTCATTATAAATGAAGGTGCCCCTAAAAAGCACATTTTACTTAATAAAAATATAAACCCAGTATTAACCTCAGCTTGTTCACCAGGTGCTGAAAATACCCAGATATTTATTTAAGAGTCAACAACCTCTATTTCACTTCCTTTAAGATCACTGAAGGGATATTCTGTTGCCTACTCCGCTAGCTTGAAAACAACATACGTTTTGTCTTATCTGTATAAACGTAACCTGTGAAATAGCTGTAAAAGGTATTTTGAACAACATCAACATCATTCTTTGCCTGCACAAGAGTTGCAATATATCACAGTGTCATCAGCATGTAGACAGATCAATAAACAGCGACACACAATGTCACTATTCCAGGTAAAGTGGAGGAGAGAGATGTATTTCTTCTGTGTGCATCGCTTATCTAACGGGTCAAAAGTGACTTTCCATTGAGCTTTTTTTGTACATAAATGACCAAATTCATAATTCCTTCAGCCTTAATCATTAAACAAAATGTTTGATTGCGGTAAATTATTCAATTTGAGGCTGTAATCACGTGTCCAGAACCGTCAGTCCTCCACTGTATGTTTCTTAAACATCATAAATATGCTGTACATGGAAAACAAAATCATAAAAACCTGGAAAAATACAAAGGAAGATAAGGTACAATACGTCTTTATGGACGGACAAATGACCTGTTGAAAACGAGTCCGATAAGGAGTGTACAGTCGGGGACACGCAGCGGCCGTGTGGCCGTGATGCCGGCGGGTTGATGATTCCTTCACAAGAGTAAATGATTGTTGATAGAAGAAGAATTCACACAAACAGCTGCAGCTCGTACAGACGCATGTCAAAGGCAGCGCGAGGTCACGTGTACGAGATGTATTTTACATATTATTTAATGGTATTTCTACAATAGAAGAATATATATATTTTTGGTATGTTGAAATGCTTCTTACAGCCGAAAGCAAACAGCACCAAATGCAAATCCCTGCGTTGTTTTCACGATTTATAACCTGAAGATCATTTTTTGTACTTTTGGGTAAAGCCAAAGTTGTCGACACTGTTACCTAACATTTATACATGCAGTTCTTTTGGGGCAGTTGTTATTTATTCACAGCCGTTATGCTACGTTGTGTATTATAACCAAGCACTTCAGGGAATTCTTAGCCAGCCAAAAAACTAATTGACCTCTTCTCCTCCGGTCGAATGGGCCAAAGGGCAGATGTCTTGGAAACACATCACGGTGAAATGTGATTGGATAAAAGCTCCAACGACCAGCAAGAAAGCTAGAATATGGGAATCATTTCACACATATTTGTGGAAAAGATATCTAACCATCTTCTAACCATCGTCACCTCATCAGTTCACCTCCCTTTATATCTGGCTCCTCTTCACACACTCGCCGTCTGGTCTCGTCTCTACAGGACACCACAGACTCCAAGCGACGTACCCGACTCCCTGCCGGCTGCGCCAAGGGACTCTCCTCCAGTCCGGACTCCTGTTAACGTTCCATCCTGATCACCAGCCTATTCCTCACATCTCCGTCTGCTTCCATTATCGTGTCAATGAACTATTGAACTCACCTCACGGCTGTCTGCTGTCCGCCATCCGTCACAGCGGCATGGCGAGTCACTACAAGCGTCATGTGAGGCTCCAACATCGAAGGATTCTTTCCTCTTGAGCAACTCGCTCACGTCCATTTTTACCGGACCCTTCGCAAAATGGGTTATTTACTCAATTTCCTTCTCACTACAGATAGAGACCTGTCAATCACGGGGTAGCCCCGCCCTAAAGGACTGTTTCGCTCTAAATAATTAGCGCCAATCATTTTCTAAATGAACGTCATGCTGTATTGAAGAAGATGTGAAAATAGAGATTGAGACCATGAACTCATGTTTACAATGTTTACTGAGTCGCTTCCCCGTAGACTTCTAAAAGAACACAACTTCTGCAGAAAGAAGGAAAGTTTGCGACACATAAAATCGTCTTCGCGCTTCAGAACCAGAGGTTGTCGACACCACACCAATAAAGCTACAAAAACCAGAGCGGATCCATGAAAATACCTTTATTTGTTCTCTTCCATCACAACAGAACCAAGAAACACGGACGTCGTATAAAAATAAATTAAGACAAAAAGTAAAGACAGGAACAGAAACTCCAACCTGTGTTCAGGGGCTCAAACCGTGACTCATTTAGTCTCTCCGTGCCACACAAATCCACACAGCCGTGTGCTCACAATAAGTTACCACTCAATGGTCACATTCAGACCTTCAGTAGGACAATACTGTTAAATACATCACACTGATACGACAGCATCCGAATGGATGGAAAGGGAACATTTTTATTGTGATCAGCAGGCTTGATTTGATTCGACAGCGCTCATGTTCATTTTTACCACGAGCACAGCGATGTTTGTTAAATCTACACTTTCTACATAACATTATTAATCAATTATCAACACAAGTGTTTTCAGATTAATGATCTGACTAAAACGGAGTGGGAGGGTTCAGGGGGGGGTCTTAAAATAATGATCAGAGGAGAGTTATGCCTCTTATACTTATATAAGTTGTAAAGACCCTCCTCAAATAAAAATAATTTTCTGCATAACAATTAATATATTCTAGAATTATTCACATTCCGTTGTACAACTTTCATGTCTCTCTTGTATCACCAAAATTCTATTCTTGAATCACAGGCTGTGTCAGAATCCCCAACGAGCTCTTGCGGATTTTCCCGCTCTTTACATCCGCTTCACCCTCTGCTGCAGGAACTCCAGCTCCTCGGCCACCTCCTTAGGCAGGTCCTCGTTCACCTGCGCGGCAAAGTACCTCCTCACCTCCTCCACCTCGCTCTGCCAGAACTCCCGATCCAGGGAGAACAGCTCGTTGAGGTCCACGTCCTTCTGCAGGCCCCGGAGATCCATGGAGTCGTGACTGGGCAGGTAGCCCACGGCGGAGGGCACGCCGCCGGCCTCGCCGCTCACCCGCCGGAACATCCAGTCCAGCACGCGGATGTTGTCGCCGAAGCCGGGCCAGAGGAATCCGGCGGTCGGGCTCTTGCGGAACCAGTTGACGTGAAAGATCTTGGGCAGCTT